ACTATTGACAATAATTATTAGTCGCTGCTTTTTCGCTATTGCAATTAGACTAATTGAATTAGTAATTTTTGACTAATTCTATTTTAGAGAGTTACTACTGTTAAACTTTGCTACCGTCAACTGCAACTATCAAACAAATACTAAAGATAATATGACTATTTCTCTCCTTTTATTTTGATCCTCATATCAAAAAAAAATAAGCAGCCAATATCAAAGCGGCAAAAGGCGCTTTATAGCGACCGAAAAAAAGAGCGGCCGACGCAAAAAAGGCAGAAGTATCATATGCAAGAAAGTTTATCGTTACAAAGTACTGATTGACTCTTTGATTTTGCGCCCCCGAAATGTTGCGCCTGCGTGCGTGCACGCACTGCACGCTCGCCAGGAACGGGCCTGTGTTTAATATATACATAATGAATTGCCAGAGGATGGGGTTTAGCAGACATCACAGACCAAAATAAAATCGTTTAAGAATCAAAAAAGTTATGTCGTTTTAAAAAAGGACGAACTTTTTGGTCGCGACACATTGAGTGGTGTGCAGTTTATATTTAATCTAAATAAAACCAATTCTAAATAGACCCATAAAATAGTTTTAAATTGAAGTTAAGGCTAATATTAAATCGAGTTTAAATTTAAATTTACACCTATAACATAAGTACTCTCAAGTTAAATACAAAGTAGGTATACATTTGGTATAAAAGTTAAAGAAAAGGTAATTTTAACGTAAGCATACACTAATCTATTCATGACTATGATAGTTTCATACTGATGCTAATAGTTTCAACTCGAGATTAGATTTTTTTGTGTGTACCTGCAAGTAAGAATGTCGTCTACATATCGGAACCAATATAAGAAAAAACGAAAATGTCCGCAAGTCATGGACTAAGAGGGTTACCCACAATTAAACCGTTACGGCTAGTATAAATCTAGTATAGTTTTGTTTTATGCAAATTTCTAAAGTACTTAAAATATCATTTTTAATAACTGGGTTAATTTTATTTTGTTCTAACAGCTTTTTCATTATACGGGTAGTTTCTAGTGGTGGCACGTTTGGGAGTAAATTAGTGATGTCAAAGGAGATTAATTTGGATTGTCAGGTAATCGGATATCTTTAATATTGTTGATTAGTTCATACGTTTTTACAGTAAATTTAGGTTTAAAATTATAATTTGTATACAATGGGTTATTATTAGATTAATGAGTCTCTAGGAAATTTTAGTAGAAGGAGCAGAATAAAATGATACTACTGATCTAATTCGAAAATTGTCTTTGTGTAGTTTAATAAGTGAATGGTTAACGTTGGGCTGGGATTCATTATGGTTAATTTATAAATGTCTTGATCGGAAAAAAATACTTTTTGCGTTTTTTATGATCTTACTTCTTCATTGAATTTTTTAGTGGGGTCTTTGGGTAATATTGTGTAATCGTCTAAAGAAAAGAAAATTTTGTGTTTTATCTACATAGTCGGTTTTATTAATGGCGACAAAATTGTAAACACAAAAATACTCCAAATATCAGGCGTAGTGGGGCCAAGGACGTGATTTGGGGCCCATGGGTAAAATTTAAAAAAACATGTTTAAAATAACATAAAAACATGTTTTTTTCTTTATATTGTTCCTTTTGTTTTAAACTGTTTTAAACACTATAAAAAAACATGTTTAAAACCTATTAAAAAACAAAATAATGAGTAAAATTGTGTACAGGTAATAACAGGTCTATTACACTGTAGGGAGGTGAAAATATCACAGCTAAACGCTCGGACACGTAAACTTAATTTTTGATAGATTACAATTTCATGCTTGGTTTAGCTGTATCAGGTCAAAATTCAAAGATATTGAAAACACCCTGTATAAATTTTAAAAAATCAATTTGGCTGGACCCACACATCATTGCCAAATAAAAAAAATTTCGTGCTAAATTTGAAGTTAATTGATTAAAAGGAACACGTATCCGGAAGGTTTTTTACAGGTAATTTAGGGAATTCAAAATATTTTTTTGTTATTTTTTTTGTATTGAGTATAATTAAGGATATTATACAAATACTAGCACCATGCTTTTAGTAAATATCCAAGGATTTGAAGACAATAAACATGGTTTACCGTTCTGGGCGAAGGAAATTGCAATTTTTAGCTATTTTCTTTGGAATCTTTAAACTCTAAGTTAAAGAATTAAATTTTCTATGTACAAAATAACGCTCACGGGTTGGAATGGTGTGCATATAAAGAAGAAGAAGAAGAAGAAGAAGAGGACGAGGAAGAACCGTACAGCAACTTTATTGATGATGATCTCCGGGAGGCTGAAGACTGTTGTGGTGTTGCAAAATACTCCAATAGAAAGAACAAAAACAGCATTTTATTCCAAGGATTGGCAGATTTTCTTACTTTTTACATAAAGTCTTGCCCTACAATACCTGTGATGGCTAAGGAATTGCAAAAGAAAACATGGCTAAAAAAGTATGTAAAAAATAAAGTAGTTGATTTGGAAAAATCATCCATGTGCCCTAATTTCAAGGAAATGCGTGATGCCTTTAAATCGTATTGTGATGTTTTGTGTGTGGATATTTAGGACTGTCAGGTTATGATTTTTTATAGATTTTTAATGTGATAGTCAGCAGCACTAACCACTAGTCCACGGTCTAACATTTATTGCATAGTAAATATAAACAGAAAATATAAAATAGAATTTTATTTCATTAGTGTCTATGCACTTAAAAAATCTTCATCATATTATAAAAATTGTAAAAATGTGACTTACTGTAAAAAATTAAAAAGTTATTGATCGAAAATGGAGCATGCTAAAAAATGTTTTTAATAAATCCTGCATCATTTCAAAATACACCACAAACACCTTCAAATTTAAACATCGAAATGCAAAAAGTTTTAAACTTAAAAATAAGTGATCATGAAAAGTGGTTAGAGTATTAATAAATTCTACGATGGTTTTTGCATTTTACAATATGACCAGAGAACCAATTAGTATACCAAAACTTCAAGAAGAGAATATTGAATTAAAAATAAAGGTTTAACAGTTGACAATATTTTAGAAACAGTACCTAAATACATGCAGAAAAAAGCATCTCTACTGTTACAACACATACATAAAAATAGCAACTTAAAATGGAACAAGAATGGATTAATTCGCGTAAATAATCAACCATTAAAAAACTCAAATATTAATGATATTGTTAATGATATATTACGTCCTTGTCAACCAAAATATATGAAAAACAAAGACACGGTAGTTCCGAGTTTAAAAGAAATTAACAATCCTCTGGAATTTATCCAAAATAAAACATATCAAAAATACTTCATAAACTACACAACCCCTGCAAACACTACAGGTAAATCCTCGGGTGACGAAACAGACTATTTCAGTGTTTTTTGCAATTCCTTTTGCTAAGAGACCGAGACCTAGAAGAAACTCAACGGTCTCCCTACATGATTTGGCCGAAAGAGGCATAAGGAAGAGAATTGAGGGGGATGAGTGAAAGAAGGGAGACCCCGTAGAGCTTAAGGGTATATTAGAAGAAATAGACCTAAAAGTCCTACGGCTAGAGCAAATTCTCATAAACCAGTACAAAATAAAGGGCGAAATAAAATATATATCCTCAAATCTTACCCTACAGATGGAAAAGCTACGTCGTAAGGGCAGGATGAAGCCATGAACGGAGCCAAGGAGCGGACGACCGAAGTCGCTTTAAGAAATGAACCCGAAGTACACGCGGTCGGTGGACATACCGCCTAATCCCGAATATCAAGGCATGGATCTACAGGCCATATGGCGAAGTAGACTACTTTCTGACGCAAGCCCTATCAGGGCATAGAAACTTCAGAAAGTATCTACTATATTATACAAGGGCCGAGACGGACAAATGCGTGTACTGCGGAGCGAAAGATGATGCTGCGCACACATTGTTTAGCTGCCCCCACTGGAATGAAGTCCGGCTAGATTACTCTAACGAAACAGGCAATCCCTTTAACATTGACAGCCTAATAAGCGATCTCGTGACACTTGAAGAAGCCTGGAACCGAAGCTTTACTGTGGTTCGAGTCATAATAGAGAGTAAAGGAAGGGACGAAATGAGATAGTTGAAAATCGTAGACCGCACTTTCATTGAAGTTATGCGCAAGCAGTCCCAATGAAAGAGAGAGAAAGGGAGGAGCAGGGGTTTTAGTGGGTATACCTACCTCCATCACTCAGCCTATAAAAGGTTTCCCCTGCTCCACTAGTAATAGGGGCATTCCATGCGAAAAAGGAAAATGACTAAAATTTAAAAATTCCTGAAATTATTATTAATTTAGTCCTTACTTATAATAAAAAGTCTATATTTCACTAATCCGTAAAGAAAATTTTGTTAAATTAATCAAAAGATCGTTTTTTAACTGCTAGTAACTTTTGAGTTGTACTGCCTTGTATCCGGGACAAATGTTGTTCAAGTTGGCAACATTTATTTTTAACCATCTAATTAATTTCAGCAAGTTTATCATTGTATTTCAGAAGAAGAGTAAGATAATGAAAAGAACTACGCTTAATTCAAAAGAAAAGGTACGTTATTTTTTGTATATTTAGTGTCTGAATATAAGCATGTCATATGTCCCACCAGTCACGCAAAAAGATATAAAAGTTGTTTTTTAACCTCAAATCTGGCTTATTCAATTTTTCATTTCGTTAGAAGTAACCATAAATATGTCTTAAATGATTTAAATTTCTTATAATTGTTAAAAAGTCCACATTATAGTTTTGAGGCTTTTTTGAAATATGTCTCACCAGTCACATGTGACTGTTCAGACTCTGGCTTATGGTCAATACACGATTGAATTTTGTTCAAGTACTGAAAGTTACAGCTTTGTTTCTCGATGTGATCTTTAATTGAATGAATAAACTCTTTTTTTAACTTAAATAAATGCTAATTTAACCATTATTTAGATTCAGATTGAGTTTGATTTTGCATGCTCTAGTGTTTTTGTCTATTATTAATTAGGCCATTTATTTGTTTATTTTAGATGAGTGTAGCAGAGAGAAAAAAAAAATCTCGAGAGAGGATGAGACAGGATGAGGATAAATGGAAAGAAGTTCAAGAAAAACAAAAAGTTTGGGATGAAAGACGAAGAGAAAAAAGAAGACAAGAGCATAAGGAAAGTCAGGAAATAAGAGAATCCTACAAGAAAAAAGAAAGGTTGCGTAAAAGAAAGCAGAGAGAAAATAAAAAGTTAGCACAAGTACAAAATTATAACAATTCAGGACTGGGGTCATACAAGTGTTTAAATACTTTAAAAAAAGCTGTAGTAAAAACGAAAAAGGCTCTGCCTCAGAGTCCTACCAAAAAAACAGCAGTTTTACAGCAAATGTTCAAGGAGGTTAATCTGCAAATGCCTACATTACTCCAGAAACCTGATGATAGAAGAAGTAACAATGCTATTACAGATGAAGTAAAGAAGAAAGTTCAAGCTTTTTACGAAACAGATGACATTAGCCGTGCTTCTCCTAACAGGAAAGATACAATGTCAATTAAAGATTCGCAATCAGGGGAACGTACTCATGTAGCTAAAAGACACATGACAATGGCCGTCGCTGAAGCTTACTCATTATTCGTCACTGATAACCCTGACGTTAATCTTGGGAAGAGCAAATTCTTTGAATATAGACCTTTACATGTAAGACCAATGAGTGACATGCCACACAACGTTTGCGTTTGTATTCATCATGCAAATTATAATTTTCTATTACAGGCTTTAAACAAGATAGCGCCAATAGTTCCAGGTTCTTCTACAGAATTTTTAAAAGAAATTACTTGCGATATATCAAATGAAAAATGTATAGCTGGCGAATGTTCAAAATGTTATAAAATTTCGGATATTCTTCCTCTAAAGTTGGATACAACAATGAAAGTGACATGGAACCAGTGGAAATCTGTTGAAAACAGGTTTCAGATTGTGACTGCTACTGGAACTTTAAAAGATCTTCTAGAAGAGCTTGACAGTAAAACACTCAAGTTCAAGTATCATGTCTTTACAAAAAATGAACAATCGAAATACTTTAAGACAAAAATTAAAGAAAGTACAGAGACAGAAATAGTACTACAAATTGATTTTGCAGAAAATTTCGCTATTCTGAATCAGGATGAAATTCAATCTGCTTACTGGAGCCATGGTCAAGTAACTTTGTTTACGGGATGTGCATGGGCCAGCCAAGGTCAAGAAAAACATTCATATGTAATCATGAGCGACGAATTAACCCACAATAAATATTCTGTATGGTTGTTTATAAAAAAGATTATAGATGATTTAAAATCTCGATATGGGAACCTCAAGAAAGTGAATATTTGCTCAGATGGATGTGCTGCACAGTTTAAAAATCGATTTACACTATCGACACTATGCTTTTCTGTACTGGACTGGGGCATTGAAATAAATTGGAGTTTTTTTGCTTCTGGTCATGGTAAAGGAGTAGTTGATGGTATTGGAGCAATAGCAAAAAGGACTCTTTGGTCTGCTATTATGACAAGAAAAGCAGTAATTAAAAATAGCAGGGACTGCTACGAGTACTTAGTGTTAAAAGGTATCAATGGATTCCATATTTTCTTTATTGGTGCAGATGATATTAAAGAACACCAAGCAAATCTTGACAAAAGATGGCAAAATATTAAAACAATTCCACATATACAAAAACACCATCATTTTGAAGGTGAAGGAAATACATGTATCGTTTATACTCTGACAGCAACATCTTCCGAATACAAAAAGGTTTCAATAATCCAAGAAGATAAATTAAATTACTCTGAAGTATATAACTCCAGTGATAGTGAATAGGAACTGTTGTTATTAATAACTGAGTTTATTAAGATCATGTTATCAGCATGATCAATTCTTTATTAGTGTTCTTTTATAAGTTTTTTTATTTATTCTCAATAATTTATAGCTAAATACATAAATAATAATGTTTTAAAGATTAAAAAAATATAGAAGTGTTATTAATAAACAATTTCGTTTACACATTTTGTACTTGTCCCACCAGTCACAAATGCCTGTCCCACCAGTCACAATTGAAAAAATTTTTTTTTATTGTTTTTACCTAGATAATCAATCTAATTCTTGATAAAAATGAAAGAACATGGAATAGATTTTGTATTAAAAAGAAAATCTCTCTTAAAAGTTTAGTGGTCGAACTGAAATTTGTCTTCAAGTACACCGTAGTAAGAGAAGAGGGTTTTTCGGTGTCCCACCAGTCACACTCATTCAAGTGATAATTACAAGAAACTCAGAAAGTAATCGGGGTTTTTTATTAAGGGATGTTGTTAATTAGTTATTCCTTCATATTATAAGATACATTTTGCGATTGTATACTTGTCAAATACATAATTATAGCTCGTAATTGGTCTAATTCCGGAGTCAAATGTCCCACCAGTCACCATGGAATGCCCCAATAGTGAGTTAAAAATTACATCGAAAATTATTAAAAAGAGAAAACAAACAAAACGAAAATTATCGCAACCTATTAAAAAGAGGGATTAAACAAAAATTATTGGACTTGAATTGGGAAAAATTTTAACAATGAATATACCTTCTCTAATACATAACCTAAAGCCATTTTTTCAATTGTGAAGAAATTTAAAAAGACCTAATTATATACTATACCTACTATACGTATTTTGTTACTTTCTTATTTTTTAGATGAATAAAGATTTATTGAATAATGTTGCTAAGTTTATTATTTTGCTTAAAAAATGAGGGTTTGTAAAAAATGTTTTGTTTTTATAAAAACGATTTTTAATGATTATAAATGAGGGTTTGTAAAAAAATTTTTTAAAAAAATGTTTTGTTTTTATAAAAACGATTTTTAATGATTATAAAACATATTTTTGCAATAAACACGTTTTTAAAACCTACTAATTTAATATATTTTATTAAAAACAATAAGAAAATATTCGATTCAATTTATTAAACTAATGAATTAATTCTTTTTGAAAAATTGCAAAAATATAAGCCAATTTTTTCAATGTGAAGAAATTTAGAAAGACCTAATAGCTATTATGCGTGTATTTTGTTAATTTTTTATTTATTGAAAAATGTTAAGTTTATTATTTTGCTTAAAATTTTTTTATATTAATATGTCGAGGGTTTAAAAGAAGTGTTTTGTTTTTATAAAACATATTTTTGCTATACAAATGTCTTTAAAACCGACTAATTTAATTTATTTTATTAAAAACAAAGAGAAACAATTTATTTAACTAATGGATTATTTTTAAAAAATCTTTTTTAAAATTGTACAATATAAAAATCATTATAAATACATATTCTGGGTATACCTAGTACCTAGGTATATCAACATTGAATAAAATATAATTATTTTAAAATGTTGAGATGGGTACGTACAAAATAAAAATATAATATACTTACCTACATTCAACAATATTTAAAAAAGCATAGTTATAACTTATATTTTTTATTACGTTTATACATTGTTTTTAATATTTTTGTTTTAGACCTAAACCAAAACCTGTATAAAAGTGTAAATTAGGGTGTCCGTTATTTCCCAAATTGGTTTTTTGTTCGCAGCGCCCCCTAAATTTTTAGTTTATGACCTAATAAAAATTATTAAAAAAATTATAAAAAAAATATTCATATTAAACCGTGCCACAAAGACGATATACCTATTTTCAATTTAAATAACATGGGGTTTCAGCAAGTTTTACATTTAATTTTTTTTCTCCCCAGCATGTTAATATACAGCAATAAGAGACACATATTCTTATAGGAAATTGAACACTGTACAAAAAAGCTCTCCTATGATTTTTTCATAAATTCACTGATTTAAAAGTTATTTAAGGTTATATTAAACTTATAGTAATTTTTTCGATTTTTTTACTTTTACTTGCAAAATTATAATTATTTTTATGAAAATAAATTGTTTATTTTTAAAAAGTGATTTTTTTAATTATTGAAAAGAGGTAAGTAAAAATTATTGACAAGAGATTTCGATAAATTCAATTTTTATATTACATTTAACGAATCTGGTACTAGTTTTACTCAATTTTAGTAAGATTACTTTTTTACATTATTTCTTTATTTCTGTGATATTCTACAAAATTTTATACGATTTTATAAAATATTCTACAATAAAAAGTTTTCCTTCAGTAAGGATAATGACGTAGAAATTCTTTTAACAATTATTTTTACGACAAAATTAAATTCGTAGTTACGCATACGCTGTCTTGAGTATGAGATGCAGACATTTCCTCTACACCAATTATCCTTTTCAAATAAGTTAAATGTATTTTTTCTTTAAAACGCCCTTTATCGAACATGTTTCCATGACACTAAGTGACCTTTTAAATACACATTGACAAGTTGTGGCTTTACGGCGCTTTAGTCACGGGCTGAAATTAACAACAGGTTTTTAGTCACGGGCTGAAGTTAGTTTTAAGTTAGTTGACAGTTGTCAAATGTCATACAATCGTTAAAATAAAGTGACTTTCTTGTAAAATAATACTAAATGTGAAAATAATTTTATTATCTCAATACAAAAATACAAAAATATTAAATAGTTTCTCAACGCCAATATTTGAAAATTTTATATGAACATTGTATTGACCTTTTAATTTCGCCGGCAGTAAACTATAACTTAAATTCGGGCACGGACTCTACTGTAAAGTCCTCATAAAACATTTCCTTTACTTTCACTGTGAAAAACTGTCAATTTTCAATATACATTTCGATTTATAACCTATAATTGTGTTTATAAAATGAAAAAATGTCACATTTGACAGTTTCCCCTGTTGTTTCATAGATGGCGCTCTATACAAATTTTTGATTTAAATCATTTTAAGATAATAATAAGTATTTGTCGTAGAAAAAGTATAGTATGCACCTCGTTTATAAACTTTTCTATACACTCATTAACTTAAGCACTCGCTCGCAAGCTCGCTCGTGCCTAAATTAAATTCGTGTATAAAATGGCGTTTATCAAACTTGATACATAATATACTATTATCTACATGACGAGCTGTGACTTGCGCTTTAGTCACGGGCTGAAGTTGGCAATAAGTAGTGGCTTTTGTGAATTTTAGTCACGGGCTGAAATTAGCTTTTTTATATATTAGAGAAAAGTGAGGTTAATTCCGTTGACATTTGACAGACGTCAAATGTTTAACAAATATAATTGGCTTTAAATTCTTCTTTGTGTTCGTCGTAGATAAAGTATACTTAGTATGCAACTCGCTTTATAAACTTATCTAGACACTCGTTTTAAATAAGCTTCGCTCGTGCCTAATAAAACCCGTAACGTGTAAAAAGAAGTTTAGCTGCTGCGATTGTGTTTTAAGTGCTCCAATATATTCTTCTTTTATTATGGGTTTTATGAGTAAAATGAACTTGGAAACTTAGTGAAAATGTTAGTGAGATACTTGCTTACAGGATTATGTGTAAAGACTGTTATGAGTGACACTATAATTGATATTTAATTAATTATTACTCTGTTTGATTATCTACATAAACTAAATTAGGGAATACAATTTAAATAAAAACAATTCATAAAAACTGTAAAATAAATATAAAAGTTCTGCCAGTGCGGGATACGAACTCGGTTCGCTGCGGAGCGTCGCTTGACGTGCGGGGGCGCTTTCCCAGCCAACCACATGCCTCATTGCTTTAAAAATATTTCTAGAAGTACAAATTATGTCTACTGACGAAATTACCAAAAAACCTTGTAAAATGTGTTAAAAGCCACCTTGTGCCTTTGTAAAATACACTATGTGCAAATTAGTAATGCATCCCAGTTGTGCAAAACTACTTAAAGCCGTGAAAATCTTAAATGCTGTGAAATGATTGTAAATTCAACTCAAAGCATTTCACCAGATAATATCCCCAAAATCTGGTGATGATGAACTAGAGGCCAATGCAAAGGCTAACACTGATAAGATTTAATTGGATAGCCATCCTCTTTTAGTTGAGATCTATTATCTTAAAAAGTTAATAAAACCCTAAGATATTATTATCGAAAACCAATAAGTAACAATTAGTTCGTTGAAAAAACAGATTAATTTAATAAACCAATTTAAAAACATCAATGCCAACAAATAAAAATAAACCAAAAGATCTGGTACCTGTGGAAAAACAAATAGTAAACAGGGTATAACTGATAAAAGTGTATCGAGCGCAATTTTGGAAGCAAAGACTCTATAACTGTGTCAACAACTGGTTAATGTAAATAAAGAATCAGGTCCAAACACTACAAATGAAAAAAAAGAAAATTATGCTAAAGTAGTTAAAAAGAGTACAAACAAGAGACCACCAAATACAGGTATACGAGCCCTAACAACTATATGTTGGAACAAACAACTAGTTTACAAATAAAACGCTAGTTTACATAATCAATTTGATTTTAATGTTTTTATATTGTAGAATTGGAATTAGCAACATTTTAGATGTCATTTTATAACAGCTGTGGGGGAAAATTCTCATTATTGTATGATTGAAATTTATTTAAGTGATTCATGTTCAATAAATGCTGACAACTTAATGTTGGAACAAAACGTTTTAAAGTAAACAAAATCAGATATTAATAAGGCGTAACGTCGCCTTTTGCCCGAATAACTGCCTGAACTCTATCAGGCATCGTATTCACAAGGCTTGCACAGAGTTCAGGTGTAAAATTATCCCAAATTTCTTGTAATTTGGTACGCAATTGTGGTATGGTTCGTTGAGGACTATTTCTCAGATGTTGCTTCATCTTGTGCCACAGTGTCTCTATCGGATTAAGATCCGGGCTGCTGGAAGGATGTGACAAAACCTTAATATTATTTTCCCCAAAC